GATAATAATAATAATAATAATAATAATAATTATTAATATATTGTTATTTATACAGCGCTCAAACCCGATTAAATTTCACAGGCTCCGAGCGCTTCTTTTCTTTGTTTCGTAGTTAATGGATTTTACTTACCTGTACGCCTGGCTGTGGTCATTGGTGATTGTTTTTGGCGCTTCGCCGTCGTATACAGAGAATACGAGTTCGATTCCCGAGAGGGGAGGTTATTTGGTAGCTTTTAAGCACAATTGGGCTATCCCGAAAAGTGTTGATTTGAGAAAATGGAAGATAAAATTTTGCCCCTTGTTCAGTTTCTTTAAAAGACAAGGAGAATTGTTTCTGTAACAAACAAATATACACACCCATGAAACCAAACTTCTCCTATGTGTAGGGCAATGCCCACTTTTGGTGTAGGTCAAGATTTCTGGAAATCCTCAAAATCTGGGATAGCGCTTGTCCTTAAATGCGACCATTTATTGAGCATGTCGGTGTGCGTTGCTGGGGTGTTGCATCTTTGTCGGTTCAGCAATTCTGACAAGCACAGTTCAAGCAGCCTGCCTCCTAAAAGCTGTGCATTGTGTCGACGGGGGTGTAAAACACCCGCTATTGCATAAATTGTGAGCAGTGTGTTGAAATCAGGCGCTCGTCAAAGTTTGCGGGGTTTTTTTATTACATAGTTTAAGGAAAATCGACCTCACCCAAGGCATACCTTTTAAAAAAATTATCTAAGCATCAAAAGAAAGTATTTTATTTTTCGAATTCAGCGCTCCCTAAGTAATTACAATTTATTTGTTTTAAGCCCGATGTAAAATACTTGTAGACCAGTGTTACTCTTTTAGAATTGCTGGTGTTTAGAATCTCATTAACATGTCTCTATTTTCCCCCCTTTGCAGGAGGCTCATGTCCCGTATGCCTCGGCTCAAAACTCCCATCCCGGGGTCAAGGTCAAGGTCAAGATCAAAGCAGGGTCAGGTTCATGTGGCGAGACCAGGCTTCCTCACGATGTTCACAGGCTCAAAGTTCATGAAACGTCCTTGAACGTGACGTGGGCAATTCCTGCGTTTGGTGTACACGGATGATCGACAGAAAGTCTAGATTATAGCTTAGATAGAGGGCGGTGCAAATTTATCTAAAGATGGTCTCGAAGTATAAAGTTAAGCTTCTAGGACAGAACGTCATTAATTAAAATAGATGATACGTTAAAGTGAATTTTTAAAAGGTTAGCTTAAATTGTAAACAATTTTACACCGAGGTGGAGGGGCAGAGAGGGTGAGTAAAGAGAGAGAGAGAGAGAGAGAAGGGAGGAGAGAGAGAAAGAGAGGGGAGAGAGAGGGTAAGAGAGAGCGAGAGAGAATAAGAGAGGAAGAGAGAGAGAGAGAGAGAGAGAGAGAGAGAGAGAGAGAGAGAGAGAGAGAGAGAGAGAGAGAGAGAGAGAGAGAGAGAAAGCGCGGGGGGTAAAAGTGGTAAATCCAGTCTCTGGAAATATTGCTTGGTGGAAATTTGCTGGTGTATTATTGAAGCTTTGATGCTCGAAAGGAAATTGGTTACTGTGGTCGGTGTTGACACGATTTGAGTTTGCTGGGTGTTCTTTACAGCCTGATTTATTTTTCTTCCTCAACCAAACCCTTAAATAAATTTTGCTACACACTACTCAAATTGTGTTTTCTAATTAGTATACGACTATACTTACTGTGGATAACCGATTTCCAAGAAATTAAGATACAGCTTGCTAACGAAAAACATTGAAACAAACTTTTTCAGCTTACCAAAATAAGATGTTGATTTTAAAGTAATACGCAACATCCTATTCAATGCGTATTTACTAATAAAGTTATAATTATTAACGCCAAGAATGTGTCATGACTTGGTGGAATGATGCGCTCGTCAATTTTGGAAAATATAGAGGTATTGGTATCATCTCAAAGCCTATTCATTTGCCTTTCTTTTAGTGAAAAAGAATACCAATCTGTGTTGAATAGAAGTCGAAATATATTGTATTTGCAATTGAAGTGGGTCAGGGTGGCCTGGCTTCAGAGGTAACATTAGCAAGAAAATGACCGTCAAGGTTTGGTAACTTCCATAGCCTGAGAGTCCTTAGAAACCGAAAAAAAAATTTTTTGTGTGCCTTTAATCAATGTTTTTCAGTGAAATCAACACAAAACAGTTTTTTTTAAGTTAGCATAAAAGGTGCTGAGCCAAAAAAAAAGAAGAAAATTAGAAAACAAAACTTGAAATTTTAAAAAAGTGGAAATTTCTTTGATTTCAATATTTTGACGAGCGCCTGATTTCACCACAATGCCTCTCATGTGAAAATGTTATAATCTGGTAATGACAAGGTCACTAATGAGGAAGTGTTTAGATCAACAAGACAGAGCCAGGTCGGAGATGAAGTCGGTGGCAATTGGCTGGACATACTTTCATGACGTTAGGCAGCTACATAATAAAGAAAGAGTTAAATTGGAATCCACGGGGTAGTAAGAGATTAAAGGGATGGCCACTTGGAACCCAGAGAAGAATCACAGAGAAAGGTGTAGAGAAGAGAAGAAAATCATGGAATAATGGACTAGTCCAGACTGGGGAGAGGCGGAAAGTGTTATAATTAGGACAAGTGCGTGCGTATTGTGCGTGTGTGCGTGAATGTGTACTTGGGTGCATATGAGTGTGTGTGTGTGTGTGTGTGTGTGTGTGTGTGTGTGTATGTGTGTGTATTTGTGTGTATGTGTGTGCGTTTTTGGGTTTTTTAATTTTTTTCGGTAAGTGTTTTACGGCTCTCGCAACTGCACAAGGTCATTATAGTGCGTGACCTTCACCCTCATCCAGTATGAAAACTTCACGGCAATGGATAGCATGATTATATTTAACATCATATGTTAAGCTTTGAACAACAATAACTGCCAATCATTATGCTCAGCGAAACAACGATCATAGTGGTTAGTTTGGACGATTTATAAACTCTTCAACGTTCAAATGTTTACTCACTTAACATTATATTGCACTCAGAATGCTTCAAACTATGGTTTACAAGCATTATTATACTGCACCGTCAGTTAAATGCCCTTGGTGCAATTTTGTTTTTGTGTATAACAAGTTTTGATAAATGACGTCATACAATAATTATTTATAATTATAATAGATGACTTTACCTTTTTGTTAAATTAAGATCACTGTGGGTTTAATGCTGCCGTGTATCTATCCATTTTCCTGTTTTGATGTGCAATTCTTTGAAAGCATTGAACTCCAGTTTCAAAGACACGAGTTAACGCAAAATGAAACTGATATTCTACACTATGTGCTCTTTAAACATGATCGTTTTGGGCTTATAGAGACTTTTCAACAGCCTTGACTGCTGTAACAAAGTTCCCAAAAGTTGGAGATTGCAGTTCCTACTTCCTACACGATAACATTCAGCTCATGACTTTTCCGTACTCCGAGGGCTGTGTGTGAAGAGTAAAGGCCACCCCTCAGTGCCAATCAATAATATTATTTTTTGCTCTAGTTATACTTTGTCAGTGTTATAATTGCGAGGTTGAGCGCAGTTCTGTCGCTTTCTTCTTGTTTTGCTCTTGTCGGGTTTTCATGATTGTCCTTGATTCATTTCCTCTACTGAATAACTGTTAAAATAAATCAGAGTGGTTATTACAATATACATCTGTATTGCCTTAAACTTTGTACTTTTTTAATGCTGCCAATAATGATGCAAGAGGAAGCATAGGAGGGACTGGTGCAGCGAACGTGGCATCTAATAATGAAAATAATAATACAAAAAACATTAAAAAAATATGTATATATAATAATAATAATAATATAATAATGATTATAATAATAATAATAATAATAATAATAATAATAATAATAATAATAATAATAATAATAATGATAATAAGAGAAGAATAGTAATAATAGTAGTAATAATAGTAATAATAATAGTAATAATAATAATAATAATGATAATATTATTATTATAATAATAATATTAATAATAGTAGTAGTAATAATGATAATAAATAATAATAATAACAATAAAAAAAAATAATAATAATAATAATTAAAAAAAAAAAATGTATAGAGATGTTTACATCGAGAATATGAATGAAATAAGGTGGAATGCAACGAAATCCAACACTCATGCAGGTCGAGATTCGGCGTGTTTGTAGTTAAAATCGATCGGATTTCTAACACTGGCGTCTGAGGTGCGAATGTTGTGCTATTTGGCTTTCACGAAAGAAACAAGTACTCATCATCTACGTTGGGGTGATATTATTACTTTCATCCTCGTCTGGGGAGTAATGGTTCGGCTTTTGCTTTTTCACGCAAAAGACGAGTGTCCTATTCCTGTATTGCGAAGTCTTTGTCCTCAGAATCTAGCCGAATTTCTGCAGGGGAATTGCTTATCATTCAACTCAGGGCCCGTCCTAACAGGCAGGGAAGAAGCAAATCGTTTCCTGATTGATCTGGAATGTGAAAAAGTGGAAGAGAAAGGAGGTTTGCAATAATTTTCAATTACATCGAAGCTGTTATAAGGGCCACCTGTCCAAGGCAACCACCTGTGCAAATAGCCACTTCCCACTTGCCCTTTTCAGCTGGGTTTTTACTTTTTTTTTTTGTTGTTGTGTATTTTATGTTATGTTGCCATTGTCCGGAATGTCTACCTGTCTGAGACAACCACCTTTCTCCTTGACCCTATCTTGGACAATTTCGATTGCATTTCCCTCAATTACCTCTGTTGTTTCTGCTAGAATGAAGTGTCACACACGAGCTCGAATTAGCTTTGATAGGCAGAATTCAAGCAGCGTACCTCCTAAACTGATTAAATTGTGTCGAGGGAAATGTTAATAGATTTACGATTATAACAATGGGTCCAACTAAAGATAAGATAAGATAAGATAAGATAGTACTTTATTATCCCAGAGGGAAATTTTCCTTGGCTGTACAGGACCGTAAAAACACATGCAGGTATACATAAAAAATGTTTTAATCATGTATATTACTCTCATTAAAATTCAATACGAAAGGAGAAGTAAAGCTGACAAAATGTACATATCAAACGCATCATTCAACCACATGCAGGAATTTAAATACATGTACTAGACCTTTGGAGTTATATACAGATACATACTCTAAGAGCAACACACATCTATGCTCATTCTGACAAAAGCCTTATGCTAGATGGTAAAAAACTTCTTAAAGTCAAAATTATCTAAGCGGCCACCCATTACCGAGCAGAAAACGTGACTGTCTCAGACAGGTGGACGTCGTACACAATGCCATTGTGATATTTGAAAAACAAAATGGGGAAAAATGAAAAGTCGCCATTGGAGCAGGTGATTGTCTTAAAACAGATGACCGTTAGAGCAGGCTCGTATGTTTCTTTCAAAGTGGCTTCACTTTAAAAAAAACCAACAATTAAAAGTTATATTTTAGCAAACCAATTTGAACGAACAGTTGAGAGTCTTTTTCGTCTTTTGGTCAATCCATCCTTCAAAAACAACCAATGTCTCTCACTTCAGAGTTCACAATACAAAGTATTTAATTTATTTTTTAACCGAATTATGTTTTTTTCCACGGAAGCTCGATTCCTGAATACTCGAAAGCGTGTTAAAATTGACATAACACGATTACAATCCATGTGAGTACAAACGTTCAGCTTTTAAATAACCAGCAACGATACCATTAACTTTTAAAACATAAAACTGACACCCCAAAAATGCTTAGCTGACGACGTGCGGTTAAAGGCTGCTTTCCATAGGACTGTTATATGCCGCATAGCAAGCTGCGCTGATAATGTCCGCGCTGAAAGCCGCACTGATTTTCATTTCCATGGGTTAGCTGATGACGTGCGTGTTTTTTTTTTTTTTTTTTTTTTTTGGGGGGGGGGTTGTGTATGAAAAGTTTTGATAAATGATGTCATACAATAATTATTTATAATCATAATAGATGGCTTTACCTTTATGGCAAATTAAGATCACTGTGGGCTTAAAATGCTGCCGTGTGTCTATCCATTTTCCTGTTTTGATGTACAATTCTTTGAAAGCATTGAACTCTAGTTTCAAAGACACGAGTTAACGCACACATTCATTCACAACAAGACGTCAAGGCTGAAACGGTTGATACTACTAGCAGCTGCTGCTGAACAATTACATTTAGAAGACACGTTGATTTTTTAAATGTATTGCTAAACTAAAAAGAAAGAGAGAGAAGGCACAGGTTTTGGGTTCATGACATTTTAAAAAATAGGAAAGTTCATGGAGCATAATATTACAATTTGGTTTCGGGAACTGAAATTAGACACGGACAAATACAGATAG